CTCAGCAATAAAAATATACAAACTATTGAGACATTCAACAAAGGGACGAGAGTGGCACATGCATTATGGTAAGAGAAGGAAGCTAGACTTGAAACACTATGTAGAGTGTGTACAATTCCATTTATATGGCATTCTGGGAAAATGCCAAACCAGTTACAGAGCTGTGATTGTCAGGGAGTAAGAATGAGGGAAGAGCTTCCCTACAAAGGGGTAGCATGTGGGAATGTTTGGGGGCTGGGTGTGTGAAGGAACCATTTTTTGTATCTTGCCTGTGCTGGTGGTGACATTACTTTGTCACAACTACGAAGTTCTCTCATTAGAGTGGGAAAGTGGTGATAGATGGTATGCAAATAAGTGGGTGTGGCTATGTTCCAACACAACCTTGCTTATGGATACTGAATTTCATGTCATGAAATACTCTTCTTTTGGTTCCTCCCCCTCCTTCCACCAATCATTTAAAATAGAAAATTTATTTTTTACCTTACATGCCATAACAAACAGGCAACAGGACTAGATGTGGACTGTGAGCAGTAACTTGCCAACCCCTACCTTGACCCATTAATCCTACTTATTTTCTTCCTAGCCCTTAATGTTATCTGAAATTATTCTATTTGTTCCTGTGTTCATCTTCTGTCTTTCCCTGCACCTTGAATTTAAATTCCAAAAGGGAGGGGTCTTCTGTTCACTATGGTAGCCCTTCTGCCCACCACAGTGGCTGACACATGGAAGTGGAAGAGATGAAGGACGTTACCAACCTGAATAGGATCGTGGGTTTGGCCTGAATTCTGATGGTTGTCTTCTGAGTGGGGCTCACAGGAGCAGAGGTAGTTTCTTCCTTGGAAGACTCTCCAATCAAGGATTCCAGTCGCGCTGACTGAGAATGTACTAGGAGTTCTCCTGAGTATAAACTCAGCTTGCGGGGTCGATCAGGATGAGACCCATGTTTCATTTTGGTCCGACCAATCTCTGTCTCATCTTTCATGGGATATTCTATGGTGAACAGACCTGTTAACACAGACGCTGCTATCGGTCTCCCTTCCCAGCCTTGCCTCAGCCAACCTCCCTGGCTCCTTCTGCCTCTGCTCCGAGGCTCTGGGCACTTGGGCCCTTGTCAGCCATCTCCAACGCTGCTCCTTCACTCTCCTGGTCTCCTTGCCTGGGAAGCCTCACCTCTGCGGGTCATCCTAGCACTCCACCCCCAAGAACACATGCTGATTGTTGTCAGTTGCCCTTGAGTCTGCTCTGACTCATGGTTATTCCATGAACAACAGAACACAATGCTGCCATGTGTGCACCATCTTCATGATTGGTCGCATGCTTGAGCCTGTTATTGCGGCCAGTGTATTTTGAATGCCTTCCAGCCTAGGGGGCTCATCTTCCAGCGCTGTACAATTTTGATCAGTAAATGTTGGCTTGGTATAAAAAGAATACATCACATCCCTCTTCATTCTCACTGGTGCAGACCTACCTCACTGTCCCTATGGGACCTAACTTCATTCAGCTCTGTGCACCCTCTCAGAGGCTGGCTATAGAGGGAGACCTCCTTCAGCAAGCACTTCTGGCCCTGAGAATTCACTTCCTCCATGGCCACATCGAAGTCAATTCCATCTACTGCCTTTGTTGTGTTGTATTTATTTGCATGAAAAACTTTTGAGGTCATCCACTTACCAAACATTTGGGGGATGCTACATGCTGGACTTCTGGTGTGGCGTTGTAGAATCAGCACTGGACTGTGAACCACAAGGTTGGCAGTTCAAACCTACCAGCTGCTCTGGGAAACCTTACACAGTATCATTATGGGTCAGAACTGAGTCGATGGCATTCAACAACAGACACTGGGCATAGAGAGATGACCCAGACAAAGGGGATGGCAAATCAATGTTTACAATGCTTGGAAGTAACCTTTATAATTAGTTGTTGTTGTAAAGTGTCATTGAATTGGTTCTGACTCATAGCAACCCTGTACAGGGTTTCTGAGGAGCAGCTAGTGAATTTGAACAACTGAGCTACAAAATGGATGAGGGGCATTGTAGAAGATGTAGATAAAATGTGGTTTAAGGTGTGGGACGGGGACAAAAAGTAAGACAATGAGAGACACAGGAAAATAAGGTAGACATACATAGACAGACACTGTGGAGCCTTGATAGCAGAGTGGTTTATATATTTGGCTATTAACTGCAGGGTCAGCCATTCAAATCTATCAGTTCAGTCATTCTACTGGAGTAAGATGAGGCTTTCTGCTCCCATAAAAATTTGCAGCCTTGGAAACCCTGCACAGGGTTGGAACTGACTTGACTGCAAACAACAGCACACCGACATAAACTGACACACAAGCAAGAGTTCAGAAGTTGAAGAAAACAAAGTTCCCTGTGTGGCAGCTGGAGTCTAATGTCCATCTCCGTCTGGACAGTCCTCCTTGCCTTGCCCACCTCAGCTTCAATATGAAGCAATCAATGGGGGGGGGGGCAGTTGTCATATGAGACAACCTGCACTGGGTACATTTCTGCCCCCTTGTTACCTGCTGTCAGCAAGACAGAATTCATGAACTGAGTCACTGTCTTTTGAAATCGCTTCTTGATCTCAGCCAGGGCTCGGCTCATCTTATGGATCTTGTCGTCAAAGTTGTTGATTCTGTGGATCACCTGTGGGGAGGGAAAGGGGAAAGGTGGTTGTCATAAACCCTACTAGAAGTGTTTGCCTTGCTTGCCCAGTAAAATCCAGGGCTAGCTCTGGTTCTTCCCTTGACGCTGATCACACTTGAAAGTCCCTGCATTGGAAGGTTTTTCCTAATTTTAATGGGCAGAGCCTTGGACTGTCATAATATTCTCTCAGAAATTTGAAGACAGAAGTAATTAATTGTACTTGAAACTGTCTTCCCTTCTAAAATGCAAGGTCCTAAAGGGTGTAGCACTGTGGGTTAATGCACTGAATTGAAAAGTCGGTTTGAACCGCAAGATTGGTGGTTCACCAGCCGCTCCTTGGAAACACTATAACAGGGTTGCTATGGGTTGGAACTGACTCAACGGCACTTAACAACAACAACAAAGTGTAGGGACCAGGTATATTGCTCTCTGTTATGGATTGACTTGTTTCCCCCTTACCTCTATGCCTGTGGGTAATGTAATGTAATCATCTTCCACAATGCAATCGGATATAATCTAATCGGTTAGTTGAGGTCATACCTGAGTACTGTGGATCCTAAAGCGAATCACTTCTGAATTATGTTAAGAGCAACATTGTTATTGTTGTTAAGTGCCATCGAGTCAGCTACAACTCAAGGTTTCCAAGGAGTGGTTGGTGGCTCTGAATCACCAGTGTTGTGATTAACAGTCCAGTGCTGCTATCCTACAGCATCACTCCAGGACTCTAAGAGTAGCATGGACACAGTGCTAAGTAAGCACACTTACTACTCACTTACTATCTCATTATCCCACACTTCATATTTAAGACAACTTTGAAGAAATTCTTAGGCAGTGCCTCCAACAGTCCTGCCCTCACAGCAGCTGGGCCCAGGACATCCTCCACAGGCCATTCCAAATGGTGTACCAGAGGCCCTGGTGACAACCAGACCACAGAATGGCAGCCCAGTGGTCAAGGGACAGTTTCTCCTGTTCATCTGCAACATCTTGGTGCATCCATGGAGGGTACTGAGCAATGAAACGATGCTGTGAGGCCGAGGTTGGGCAGAGGGAGGCAGAGCAAAAACCTGAGGGTGTCAAGGAGGTTGCTGAGAGGAGGTGGGAAAGGTTGTGGGAAAAGGAAGGGAGCCATGTAGGGTTGTAGGGCTCAGGAGGATGAAGAACATATGGGGTACCCACCTACCCTGTATGGGCAGAGGGAGGCAACGGGCAATGGTCAAAATCTGGCTACCACCACCATCATTCTCAGCCCCCACAGACTATGAGGTGGTGGGGAAGGTGTAGTCAGGCAGGGGGACCCATTGTACCACATGCATCCCAAGATGCACTGGGGGCACCCAACAGGAAGTGAGCAACTGTGGCAAAGGGATACCAGTGTTGAAAGCAGGGCACAGCCCTAACTCATAGCTCTGATTTCACATTAAAGCTTGGTCTTTGGAACCTAACCATGTTGATAAGTGAGGACTGGGGCTTCTAAGGCAACAGATGTCACATGAGGATCGCCACGGAACCAAGGAATATCTAGGGCTGCCAACAAGCAAGGAATAGGCATGACTGATATCTGACGTGGACTTTAGTCTCTAGAACTATGAGACAATAAATTTCTGCTCTTTTCAAAGCCACACACTGATAACTAACACAGCCTCCTTTGTGTGTGAGTGCCTGTCACACACAGGGTTCTCAATAGATGCGTGCTGCTTTAATAAATAACTGAATGAAGAAGGTCTCTCTAAGTTGTCACTGCCAGTCCCAACCTGTAGTGGATGCTGTCCTGTGTCCCCCATGGTTTTGTTGTGAAGTCGGTTCCTACTCATAGTGACCCCGTATAGGTGAGTTTGAACCACCGACCTTGTGGTTCAAACCAACCTTGCAGTTCAGTGCTTATCCTACAGTGCCACATCAGGACTCCATGTCCCCCATTTGTTGTTGTTAGGTGCCATCGAGTCAGTACC